CCACCCACAAGTCCCACTGCGGGCTCTCATCTGCACCTTTGACATTCCAGCCACCAGCGTCAGGCCAGGGCTGGGTGCCAGGCGGCACTCTGAGGGACTTCCTGATGTTTCCATGTTACAGTCAAAAAGACACCAAGGAGGCTCAGGCAAGGGAGGGGGTCCCGAGGCCTGTTTGTTTGGAGGCCATGGTTGCACATCTTTTTTAAAAAAAAATACTTATTTTTTTAGTTGTAGGTGGACACAACACCTTTATTTTATTTTTATGTGGTGCTGAGGATCGAACCCAGTGCCTCACGCATGCTAGGCAAGCGCTCAACCTCTGAGCCAAAGCCCCAGCCCTTGCTTGAACATCTTGTAGGTGGTCCTGGTCTAGCCCACATGGCCAGCTGCCTCTTCCTCCTCCTCCTCCGCTCTGCAACTGTGAGTTAGACAAAACCACAGCTCCCTGTGCTGGACTGTACCGAAGCCTCTCTCCCTAGCATCTAGAGACCTCGTGAAGAAGGTCAAACCATTGCAGAGGACCGTGCCCACCCACCTAAGACTCCCAACCACCAACCCCGAGGGCTTAGAAAGGTTGTGTGGTACAGGTCAGGGGAGTGGCTCAGTGGTAGAGAGCTCACCTAGCACGTGCAAGGACCTGGGTTCCATCCCCAGGGCTACAAAAATAAGAAGTGCCATTGGTGACGTCCCACACCTGTGGGGCCTGACACAAGATGCACCCAGCCAAATGCCACGGTGCTCACAGTGTTCATCCTTTGTCCTGCCATATCTCACCCAACACCTGTGCATCTGGATGCTTCAACCCAAATGCTGCAAGCAAATATCACTTGGAAACTGTCCTCCCGGGTTGCAGTATGAGTCTCTGTAGTGCCTGCTCTGATCTGTAGCCTGGGTCTTCAAAGGACCTGGACATGCTGCAGGGGGGGGGCGGGGATGTCTTGACTTTATACCAGTCACCGTGTCTCGACGAGCCTCAAGCAGTGAGGCTGTTAGGCACAAATCAAAGCCCTTGTCACAGATCCTGCTACTTGCAGTTGCCACTAATATGACCACTCATCCTTCTGGCCCTTTCTGTGATGCTTCTGCTGTGGCTGAGGAGCCCAGCTGGTGGCTCCGGGCATGGAGCCTGGGTTGGAGATGCTGGTGTCGGCTGCTCTGCCGTGGGGAAGAGTTCGCCAGCCAAAGGGAAACAGAAACGGAACGGAAAGCGAGACAGGGTCCAATGAACCAGGAAGGTGGAGAAAGTTCTGGACACGCTGCTTAGTCCCCTGCACCAAAGCACGCCTGGGCTCCCTGGGCACAAGCTTTGCTCACTAGCAAGCCTGAGCTGTATTTCTGACACGGGCATGTGGCAGTCTGGTGCCTGGCCGGGAGGCCTTTCCATTGGCAGACCTGTGATGGCGGCATGAGCCTGGAGAGGTGGGAGGAGGGCGTTAAGGACGCAGCCCCAGGCAGGGAGTGGGCAGTGCTTTTTACGGGGCAGGGAACAGCTGGGGAGCTTTGGCCTGTTCTGTCGTGAACTCGGGCCACTTGTCCACAGAGGCTAGTGCTGAAGGGACTTGGCAGAAGAGCCACCAGATGCTGGGACCGGCTGGCTGCCTCCCAGAGCCTCCACGGTGTCATTGTACAAAGGAGGGGCCACCTGAGCCCAAGAGACCCACGCGCCATGGCAGCGGGGAGGGCTTCCTGCCTTTATTTGGTATCCCCAACAGGACGTGCACCCCGAGGAAGAAGTGCGCAGTCTTAAGTAAGGGGCAAGTGATGTCGTGACAGCTCAATAGTCGGCCAGCAATTCCGTGTGGCCTTCTGAGAGGGCAGGACACCCCACCAACGCTCCTTGTGCATGGGCGGTACTTCCACCAGACCAAGAAGTGGGACCTGAGTAGTGCAAAGGAGCCCCGCAGAGAGGAAGAAGGTGGCCCAGGCAGGAGGGCCCTGAGCCCTTTACACACCCTCCCTGCACACGGCTGACCGAAGCAAAGGCCTGGGCCTTGAGGAAGCCCCTGGGTCTCTGCTGCCCCACACCCCGGGAGTGGGATGCCTCTGTCACCTGCCAGGACCGAAAAGCAGAGGCAAGGTTCTTTCACACCCGTGAGTATGGCCCGGGCATCCCACCTGCCCCCTATACTACTGTCATGGCAGACTCCCCATCTTCTTCCCCCTAGGGGACGTGGCTCCTTCTAGGGGCTCCCATCCTAAAGTTCCTGAATATTTCCAATATTTCATTTTCTTCCATTTTTTTTTCTTATTTTTTCAGTCCTGGGGATTGAACCCAGGGCCTCATGCAAACTAGGCAAACACTCTTACCTCTGATCTACAAAACTTTTTCTTTTTCCCCCTTCCTTCTTTTGCAGTATTGGGGATTGATTCCAGGGACACTTTACCACTGAGCTACATCTCCAGCCTTTCTTTGAATTTTTTAAAATTTTAAGACAGGGTCTCTTGGGGCTGGGGATGTGGCTCAAGCGGTAGCGCGCTTGCCTGGCATGCGTGTGGCCCGGGTTCGATCCTCAGCACCACATACAAACAAAGATGTTGTGTCTGCCGAAAACTAAAAAATAAATATTAAAAGATTCCCTCTCTCTCTAAGACAGGGTCTCGGTGAGTTGTCCTGGCTGGCCTTGAACTTGTGATCCTCCTGCCTTGGCCTCCAGGGTAGCTGGGATTACAGGTGCATATGCCACTGCACCTGGCTTCCAGTTTTCAATGGGGTGAATCTCAATGTCTGACAAGAGCTGAGCCATCAAGAGGCCGGCCAGGTGTCCCCAAGGCAAGGACCAGTTGGTCTTGTCTCGAGGCAGATCCAAGCTCAGCTCCCCTGTGGGGAAGTGGACCCCTAAACTAGGTAAAATCCGACAAGACAGTGAAGCTTTGGGGTCCTGGCATGGGTCCCGGCAGCTGCGGGCACCCTGTTCTTCCTGGCACACTGTGGGCAGCAGCACCCAGCCGTGACAGTGTCCGACGCCCTGCATTTCTGGCCAGGCTGCACCTCCTGCCCCAGTCTCTCCTGCGGCCATCCTCCTCCTGTGCTCCAGCAACATGTCCCTGCAGCCAGGGACTCTCCCCTCCCTCCCACCTAGGCCTCAGTGGCACAGCCTGTGTAAGGGCCAACCCTGGAGCTGAGCTCTGGGGCCCCTCCTCCTGCTCCCGAGCTCCCCAGCACCTGGGCTTCGCCGACCACTTGTCCTCGTTAACAGCCAGCCACCTTGAGATGGCTCCACGCGTGGGACTGCATTCGAAGCATCTTCTCCCCTGCAATTATTTCTCCTCCTTTAAACTGTAGCAGCTCAAGGGTCTGCACCTGGTTGGGTGACTCTAGCTGAGCAGAGAACAAACGCAGCAGCTGTGGGGTTGGGTTTTAAAACTCATTTCCAAAGGATCGGGCTTCCGAGGAGTCAGCGTCCAGAAAGACTGGGAGCCCAACTTTCCTGCTGTAGCTTTTGTAAGGAATAGAAGAGCTGGGCCAGCCCAGCCCTGGACAAAAACCCCTGGGCTGTGAGAGAGGGAAAACAAACAGGGTTGCCCGCGAGGAGGGATTTCAGGCAGGAGAGGGGACCAGGCCACCCCTCTCTGCTCTTAAGTATTTTCCAACATGTGTGAACAGAAGGGGCCTCTGTTCCTCCCCGCTCACCCAGGGGCCAGTGGACACTGCTTTGCATGTCTTCAGCACAAGGATAAGGACTGCTGGAGACCAGATGCAAGACCTGCAGGCTTCCCTGCATGAAGTCCACCCTGGGCCTGGCTGCTCCCTGGGCAGGAGGAAGAGGAAAACACCAGACAGGGCTGAGGAAGCCACAGGCTTGTTCCTCTCTCTCAGTGGCAGAAAGAAGGCAAGTTGCTTTTTGCTCCCCAGGTTATGGTCACGGTGTTTTCAGGGCAGGGCTGGCTGCACCTCATTCACTGCTGTGTCCTTGGGTTTAGCACATAGTAGGTGCACGACAGCACGACAGACCCTCTCCACACCAAAGCCCTGAGGGCCAAGTCCAGGGGAAGGTGCTCTCACTGCCGTGGCCAGAGGCTGCAAGGTCCTAGGCCGCCCAGGGCTGGAGGACCCCCCACCCCTCAACGAGGACTTGGCTGTAGGCAGCGTGGAAAGGTGATGGGCAGGTGTGGAGGAAGACAGCTAAGTCCAGCCGCCAGGAAACACAAGAAAGTGACTCACTTTGTGTCACTGCAGTAGGGCATCTTGGGAGCAGCTGGGGAGCTGGGCCTGCCTCTGAACCCTTAGGCCTGGTGGCTTCTGGAGCATGTGGCATAGCCCCAACATGTTACTGGTCAGAATGACCTGCCAAGCCCCTCCCTCGGTCCAAGGGCTAAAGCCCAGGTAGGGGCAGAGGCAGGGGCAAGCTGCCATGTGGCGCCATGGACAGCTGTGACTGGCCAAGCCCAGAGGGGCCCTTGCTCCCTCAGCTGGGGAGATGGGGCCTAAGCCATGAGACCCTGAGAGCCAGGAAGTCACAAAGCTCACCTGGCCCGGGGTGTGCCTTTCCTGCACTGCCTTCCTACCTGGCCTCGCTCCCCAGAGCAGCCCCAAAAGGCCTGTCCAGAGGGACAAATTAGGGGTGTGGACAACCTATGTTCTCTTTAAGGGCAAAGGCCCCCAAGGTTGTCACTTCCCAGGGGCTCAAGAGGAACAAAAGCCAAGGTTCTAACATCAGCTCCTGGGAGCTTGCAGGAACTTGGCCTTGGGAGGAGTAGGGCAGGGAACCCTGTACCCCACTGTGCGGGCCACGAGGGGCAGAGGGCAGGTGTGGAGGGAGGGCCTGGCCAGGGCAGGTGTGGGTAGACCAAGGACACCCCCAAGGCTGTAGTTCTGCCACCAGCAGGGTCGTCCTACCTTGAATCCCACGAGGTCACCTAGGGAGGCCCAGCACGGGAGCAGCTGTACCCCTCCTCTGCCCCTCGTGAGCACGTGGGACCCCCGACACGCGGCATCAACAGGGCTCCCTCGGGGCCAGACGCCAGAGGATCGTGGGGCAGGGGCTACAGGAGGCCACAGCTCAGGCCATATGTGAACAGCATTTATTTCTCGTTTGTTCTGCAAACGTTCAAGCCTACTGACTCTCCTGGGCTGAGTGGGACCCGGGGACAGGGGAGTGAGACACTTCGGAGCTGGTCACAGGCACGGCCAGTGCTGTCTCCTAGGACGGAGCCTGGTGGCCCCTGGAACCCACTGAGTACCTGCTAAGTACACGTGGGGTCACTTGGAGAGGCCAGGCGGGACGCGGGGTGCCATGGCTGAGGCGGTGAGGGGCTCATGCCCACCGGGAAGCACCTTGGCGGTCACATTCCTGGCACTCTTTGCCGATGGGCTGCAGACCCTGGAACCTGTGTACCCCTGATGCCTCGGGGAACTTACCAAGAGGGTAGAGAGGGCCTCTGAAGAGTGGCTTGTGACTCCTCACCTGGCAGCTAAGGGCCAGTGCCCGAGGTCAGCCCAAACTGCCTTGTCCAAGGCTCCAGGGGGCCCAGCCCTGCCCCAAGATCAGGTTAAGGCCTGGCAGGGCCGGGGAAGGGAAGGGCCGTGCAGCAGGAGGTCATCGTAACCCAGACATCTGGGAGGGGGGGCCCCCCAGCACAGCACTGTCCCCATGGTCCCACTGGCCCTGAGCTGGGAGCCCTGAGATCAGGGCCCCGTGGAGGAGCCCGAAGCATAGTCCAGCTCAGTGGGGCCGCTTGCTGTCCAGAATGGCCTTCCAGTCGTCTGCCCACGAGTGCAGCCTGCGGCTGGGGGGCTGCAGCTGCAGATGCTGGTTGTGGCAGGAGGTGAAGAGAACGTGCTCCCAGGTGGGGTGTGGCTCTGCCCCTGTGGGCGAGAAAGTAACAGCTCAGTTCAGAGGTCGGGGACCCCAGGGCGCAGCCGGGGACCAAATCCTGAGTATCCTCAGGCGGGCAGCATGCCTCGAATGACTCAGTTTCCTCTCCTGTAAGGGGTGCTTGCACAAGAGCCTGCCATAGGAGGCATAAGGACCCAACAAGGCACCTCACGCCAGACACCTGGTGCCGCACGTGGTAAGCGCTCGACTCATCACTGAGACAGTGTTCTGCATCAGACCTGCCGGGGGGGGGTCTGCGCTGAGCCAGGTGTCCAGCCTGCCCTGCTCTCTCTGTGCCCAGCCACCCAGCGCTGGCCTGTGGGGGAGGAACAGGCAGGCAGCTGTTGGCCAAGGGCCCCTTGAGCTTCCATCCTTCTGTCCACACGGGTGCTGCTGGTGGATCTGCCCCTTCAGGTTATGTCCCCCACCAGCTCCTTCCCACAGGCCTCCTCCTGCTCCAAGTGGCCTCTGGGCTCCTGGAGGTCACAGCCCCCACGGGCAATTGTGACCCTGGGTCTCCCTGGGAAACCACATGGTTGGGAGGGGCTGGTGAATGCACCCATGGACCTCCGGACACAGTGACTGGAGAAGAGATGGACATGTTTTCCAAACCAGTTCCAAAAGCCATTAGGAAAAGAAAAAGTCTCTTCCTATTGGGGGTGTCCAAAAGAGCAGCCCACGACCCTAAACTACTGACGACTAAAACCAAGAGACCACCCTGCCCGCAGATGCTGGCAAGACCAGGCCTGGGCAGGGCCCGGAGAGCAGGAGGCTGACTCAGCTGGGCCCGAGGAGCTCCTATCCCACCCTCTCAGCTACGTGAACCAATAATTTGTCCTCTCCTTTCAAAAATCAGGTTTATTGTTTCATTTGGGGGAGGGGGGCATCTATAAGCAAAAGGGACAAGTGCAATTCCAAAACACCTTCAGCCAGAGAAACCATGTTCTGCTTGCCCGACATACATTAGGCTCAGTCCAGATTACTTCTGAGAGAGAAAAAAAAAAAAAATGTGTGTTTTGGGGTCGGTGGGGGGCATGAACTAATAACAAAGATTTAAAAATCAGAGCCAGGTCCTCGCTTTCCATGAGGAAGGAGGCAAGGCTTTGGAGATGCGAGGTGACTCCCCAAGGCCACCCAGCAAATGAGGCCTAAACCTGGAGACTGATCCCAACCCCAGGAGTCCCCAGGAGGCGGCTCAGTGTGGGCTGCACAGTGGACACCTGACACGCTCCTGCGGACAGCGTAGGCAAGCAGGGACAAGGAGACAGCTGAGGGTGACCACTGTGGAGAAGGAAGACGTGAGTCCCAAGGCCGGCCCACCCGCGCCTTCCCTGCCATAGGCCACTTGCCTGTGATGTCCGGTCGGTCGTCTATGAGGATGTCAGCGGAGACCACCGTCTTGTCCCTGGTCAGCACAATCTGCTCCAGAAAGTCGGGACCGAAGTGCTTCTCGACCCAGGCATACTGGAGGCGAACGGTGAGGGAGGAGAGCAAAGTGACATCAGGCAGCTCTGGGGCAGTAAAGGCCCTTCCCAAGGGCGGGGGACAGCTTAGGACCTCAGCACTAAGAAGAAAAGGGGCTGACGCCAGGGGCCAGCTCTCAGAAGCTCTATGCAGGAGGGACGAGATGACCGAGGGTGCTGGCGCTTGGGGGCCATGTGTCCCTTGTCCACACTCTGTAGTCAGAATGCAGCAGGGCTGTGACACAAACAGACCCAGTGTCTCCAGGGCTACACGCCCCCACAAAGGACAGCCATGTTGGCCAGCACCATCCTCCACAGGTCCTCCAACCTCCCGGACATGCCTGAGAAAGACAAAAGGCAGCTCTGCCCTCGGGGAGCTTCTAGCGGGTTGGGGTTCAGGCCAGGTGCATTCAGACCGTCAGTGGCAGAACACTGTAAGGGTCACAGAGAAGCCGTCCGAGGGGCCGGGAGAAGCCACAGGGGCTCCTGACCTCCACCCAAGTGCAGAGGGTGAGCACTTGAAGCAGCTGCTGTTCCGGGTGCTGAGGAAGATGGAGCAGGAGTCCGCAGGGATGCAGGACAGGGAAAGCTAAAGTGCTGGGTGTGATGACTGCCCCCACTCATGGGGCAGGGAAAGACTCGGGCCTGGCAAGCCACACGCACCCTGGCCACGGTGGGCTCTGCGCAGGCCTTTCCGTTTCCTGGTACCCCTCGGTTTCCCTCAGGGGCGTGCCCTCCCACCACCCAGCGAAGCCCAAGCACAGCCACCTGGCTCCCTGGGAACATCCTGAGTGAGCAATCCCAGGCCAGCGGCCCAGCTCTGCCCAGCTCACACTGTCTAGCCACCTGGACAGCTGACATCCTCCTAAATCTCTGCACCTCAGCTCATACACGACTAGGGGTTTGGGCCAGTGGGAGGTCGAAGCAGAAGGAGGGCAGGAGAGGGCACGCCTCCCCCCAGAGCTGCTGTGAACAGATACCACAAGTTGCGACAGCTCCACGGCGCCGGTGGCTTGGGCCAAGGGAGCCCCGAGCTGCAGAGACAGTGCAGTGTGGCAGCTGCCGTCCTGTTGCAGACACTCGGGCTCGGTCCCCGCCCTCTCGGGGACCCCAGAGCCCCTTGAGTAAAATAAGGGTGGCTGTCCTCTGGCCAGAAGGATAGTGTGCTAGGCCTCCCCAGAGCCCTAGAAATTCAGCACATCCAGGGCCTTGCCACGGGCGGCCGCCGCTGACCAGCCACCTCTACCCCAGCCACCATGGCGCTCTGTGATCTGCAGGGATCAGGGCAGGTTCTGCAGAGATGGGAGCAGGTACCTGCCCCGCGCAGCCCAGCTTTGCCTCTCTCCCTGTGCGCCCCCCCCCCCCCCCCGTGGCCCTGACCCCCTCCACAGTCAGGCTTTTTCCTGCCTCAGCAGCTGACATTAGCTGATGCATATCCACCTGCCCCACTGAACTGCAGATTCCTTGAGGCCAGGTACCATGTCTCGAAGGGCACTTGCTCAGATGCACCCATCAACAATTATACAAAAGGAAGGAGTGGGTCATTTTGGGGTTAGCCTTGCCCCCACAGGAAGGGTGCTCTAATTCTGAAGTCCTCAAGGCCAAAGTCACAGGATGCCACCAGATTCGCTAGATGGCTCCGAGAGGGTTAAGTCACAGTGCCACAGGCAGATGGACTGTGGGTGGGCTGACCCCAGGGGCCGTTCCACCTGGCCAGGAGTCCTCCCAGGTACCAGGCCAGGGAGAGGACATGTGGAGGCATGGAGGCAGGGGTAGAGGAGGTGGGAACCCGGGGCCCACACAAGAAGAGTGCCACGGTCCGCCATCTTGCCTACATCTCGTCACCACCTATGAAGCACGCACCTTTCCCTCATTCCTACAGCTGTGTACATAACCAATCTGACGTGAGGCGATCACATGATGACCCACTGATGGCTGGGTGGCCTACTGGGAGGTGACACCGCGCTGGGGGAAGCAGGTAGGTCACTGGGTAGGTCCTTCTCCTCCCTGGCCCACGTCCTCTTTCTGTGCTCCTGGATGCCCTGGGCGGAGAAGCTTTCCTCTGCCAAGCCCTCCCATCCCCATGTTCTACCTCATCTCAGGCCCAAAGGGATGGAGCTGGACTCGGTCCATGGAAACCATGAGCCAAAACAGACCTTTTTCCCTCTAACTTGTTCTTGCCAGGGATTTTGGTCCCAGGAACAAAAGGGCTGACTCAAATGCGGTGAGAGCCCTGTTTTCACCAACCCATCCGTGGAGACGGTCACTTTTATTCTGTTTTGTTCATTTTCACTGCGTCACGGCCACGGGCTTGGATGCAGTGTGAAGGTCAAATTGTCATCAAAGTTTCCAGTCACATATAAGCTCCATCTTGTGACGCATTCTGTGCTTCTCTCCTCTTGGGCCCGGGGCCCGTCTGCAGGCCACAAGTAGAGAGAGCCACTCTGCATAAAGGGCTGACTTAGATGACACACCACAGTGGTGGACAGATTCTGAGGCTCAGAGAGGGCTAGTGACTTGCTGAGGGTCACGTGAGTGGCAGAGCCCAGTGTGGCCCCAGGTCTGTGGCCCTGGAGCCCTCACCGCCATGCTCTCCTTCCCTGAGACTGGAAGAGAGAGTTCAGGTTTCCTGAGCCTCAAGGATCACAGCCTTGACCACTAGAGCTGCTGCTTCTAAAGACACAAGGCTGCTCCTGTGTCTCCGAGTCTCTTCCTCAGGAGGCTGCGCAGTCCATGCCCAGTAACAGGGAGCAGGACGGACCTCCCTGGTGCACGCCTGTCCCAGCACTGCACCTGCACAGAGCACGTGCTCAAGAAAGGAACTTTTGGCCTTACTCCAAGTCTGCCGTCCTAAGTGCCCTTACCCATCCCAAGGTTCCGATGACACTTGAGTCATGGGACCACGGGAAACCTGTTGAGCCTCCAAAGACAGTCTCCGTGGGATGCTGTGGGTCTGTCTGAATCAAAGTCAATCTATGAGGGACGCTGCTATAGTTTATATCTGAAGTGTCACTCAAAGGCCCATGTGGGTAAAGGCTTAGTCCTCAAGGTGGCACTTGGAAATTTTGAGAGGTGGGGCCCAGGAGCATGACTTTGGGTGACTGGGGGCCCTTGCAAAGGACCTGGCTAATTCCTTGCTTTCTGTTGCTCCCTGGTCACAAGGTAAGAGGGTTTGTTCCACCACATGCTTCCCCCAGGACATGCGGCCCAGAACCACAGGCCGGCCACTCACGGATGGAAACCTCCAAAACTGGGAGTCCAGGTAAAACCTTTCTTTTAATAATTTGGTTTATCGCAGGTGTTTATTATAATGATGGAAACCTGACCTAGGCAGACTATTTAGAGTAATGCCAGGTATACAGAAAGAAATAAATGAATGTTATCATTACATCTGAACTTCAATAGCCTCCAATAATTTACAAAGAAATAACCAGGCTATCAATTTAGCAACATGGATGAATACAAGGCTGATACACAAAAAATCACTTATATTTGTATTCACCTGGAGATTGCAAAAATTTTAAAAAAAGCTATTTATGATAGCATAAAAAATTAAATAGGCTGAACTTATGCACTTAAAACCGGTAAAGATGGTAACTTTTATGTTATATGTATTTAACACTAAGATTTTTCTAAGGAAAAATTGTGTTCTATATGTGTAATAAGAATTGTGATGCATTATGTCATGTATTTAAAAAAATAAAAGCAATTTAAAAAAAGATTTTCTAAGCAAAAAATAAAAATAGGCTTTATGCCAAAAATCCCCAATGTGAAATAAAGAAAAAAATCAACAAAATATGAGTGATACCAGTACCATGAAAACTATAAGATATTGCTGAGAGAAATTAAAATCTAAATTAACGAAGCACTGTGTGTGTGTTCATTCAGGATCAGAAGGTTTTGTTAAGCTATGTAACTACAATGCTACCGTAATCTAATTCCCACCAGGCTGTCTACAGAAATGGACATATCAGTTCTAAAATTTATATAGAAATATAAAGGATCTAAAATAGCCAAAATAAGTTTTTTAAAAATTTTTGTAGTTGTAGATGGACAGAATGCTTTTGTTTATTTTTATGTGGTGCTAAGGGTCAAACCCAGTGCCTCACAAATGCTAGGCAAGCACTCCGCCACTGAGCTACAATCTGAGCCCCCAAATAAAATTTTTGATAACTTTATTTTATTTATATTTTTTATGAGGATCAAACCCAGTGCCTCACATGTGCTAGGCAAGCGCTCTACCACTGAGCCACAACCCCAGCTCCCAAAATAAATATTTTTTTTTTTTAGAATTTCAACATTTATTTTTTAGTATTTGGCGGACGCAACATCTTTGTTTGTATGTGGTGCTGAGAATCGAACCCGGGCCGCACGCATGCCAGGCGAGCGCGCTACCGCTTGAGCCACATCCCCAGCCCCAAAATAAATATTTTTAAAATATTTATTTTTTGGTTGTAACTGGACACAATATTTTATTTATTTATTTTTATGTGGTGCTGAGGATTGAACTCAGGGCCTCCCACATGCTAGGTGAGCATTCTACCGCTGAGCCACAACCCCAGCTCCCAAAATAAATTTTTAAGTGAAAGATAATGTTGGAAAACTCACAATGATTTCAAGAGTTACTATGAAACTACAGTAACATAGTTTTTACATTAAAGTATTCAAAGTAGGAGAGACATTTCCATTAAAGGATCTATACAGATAACACTACACAAATGGACCCCATGGTAAAGACATTTCAATCAAAATGACCTTTCCAACAGAGGAGCTCTAACTAAGTGTGGTGGTGTGCACACCACTAATCCCAGGGACTCAGGAGGCCGAGGTAGGAAGATCCAAGTTCAAGCACAGCCTCAGCAACTTAGCAAGACCCTTGTCTCAAAATAAAAAATAAAAAAGGCTGTGGAGAGAGTTCAGTGGCAGAGCACCCCCAGGTTCGATCCTCAGTACCACACAAATAAACAAAAAATAAGCTCTAGCTTTATCTTGTACTGTGTA